AGTAAAACCTTGTTAGAGTGTATATTACAGCGTAGACTAAAGCCGAGTGACAAGCGCCCCCCCCTCCCCACGAGCACCGAGAGCAGCAGAACCTCCGCCTGATAATCATTACGTTTTCAGTTCACTAATGTCAGGGGAAACGATCCAAACCATACAAGTAGCCCATCGATTTAAAGCCCAGACTCTGCTCTTTCCAACAATATAAGTGTCACAGCTCTACGTGAAAAATTCATGGAACAAGCAGCCACAGAATAGCAAAAAAGGCTAAATTCTGGAACATAAACAGGAACGTCTTTCCTTTGTTTTTATGGCTTTAATCCACTTTGGAGTCATTTTTTTTCCACTTGGCTGGACCTGTACGTCTCCTGTGTTTATGTTGGTTCATGTAATATGCTAATTCTGTACTGTGGAGATCATTAACAGTCGCTGTCGGGTGAAAAAATCTTTCGCTAACACTGTGTTGACTGTGAACCGGAAGTGATCGGAGTGGCATCCAGTGCGGAGCCGGATGTCCGTGGCTTATAGGCTATTCCCTGCTGTCTGTGTTGTTAGTTGTTGCAGCAAAGCTCTGTTTATATGCAGACATTCCCCTTTGTCTTTGACATGCAAACATCTCAACAACTGTTCATCTCAGTGTTGTGAAATGACTTTTGCAATAAGTTATCCATGTTGTCTTTCCAAAAGTGCATTCACATTTATCACAAAAAAGTGATATCACAGGCACTTTAAAGCCTTCTTCTGTCTCACCTAAGTCATCATCCTGATCATCCGGTCTCTCTGAAGGATCAGCAAACTCCTCGTATTCTGCCATCATACTGGTACCAAATACTCTGACAAAAACAGTCAAATTAAAGTTAGAATCCACAAATTACACCTAATGTGTTCAGAACACAACTAGAAACAAATGCAAACACTGTTTTATTACAATTTATCAGTTGATTGTTGCATTACATGCATATTTATATTAAATTAAAAAAGTATAATCGCGTGAGAGCAGCAGCAGCACCTAGCTGTAGCACTTCTGGTGCAGCCTGAAGCACTCTAACAAGAACATCCTCTTATTACTCCTTAAATAACCATTTAATGCAAAGCTGTCAGCAGGTTAAATAAAGGTTGACTTTTTTCTCCTGGTACGTACCTTAAGAGACTAAGAGGACAGAAATGTTCAGAACCAAAATGTGAGAGCAGCTCCACCTGGAAAATGCAGACGTGTAATCTGTGACTCCAGTAAAAATATGAATAATCCCACAATAAAGCGTCCCCACTGTGAGCAGCACTTTTAAACAGCTGATTTGGTACTGCACACAGAATGAAACACCAAAGAACAGAGAGTTACTGTGTGAGTCAAACAGACAGAAACAAATCGGGAGTTAATCGTGTGGCAGGAGGAGCTTGATCGGGTGACTGGATGAGTTTACAAATGGTTTTAACGCCAGTCGTCACATGAGAATTGTGATCAGACGTCTGGGTTAGATCAGATTCTGTTTCAACGATTAGTGTGTGAGGATGGAAGGCACTGTTCAGAGCACTACAACAAGAGCAGGCTAACCTTTATGTACTTGGTGAACATCTGAAGCAGGAGAGAAAAGAGAGAGAAAAATTAAAGATACAAGCGTGCGTTCAAAACAGAATACTGGTTTAACCTAAAAGATGAAACGAAGCCTCCATCCTGGACAGAATGTTTCTGTCTGCAGGCTTTATTCAGACCAATGAACAACAAAAGTCATGAAAGTCTAACTACTCCTCTACTAAACCCATTTCATCCACAGGGATCAAAGAACTCTGAGTTAAATGTTAAACAGCTACAGACACTAAAGTATCAACTACATCAGCAGAGAACACAAACACATCACTGACCTTCACATATTTGGCATAAAGCTGTTCATCTAAAGGGAAGCTCTGGACTGTGCGTTCATCCCTGGCATGAAATGTTCCCAGTTTTAGCCACTTATTTGTTGGGTATCTGAAAATCAAACAGTTATTTCAGTGATCTGAACATCTGGAAAATTCAATAAATGTGGCGTCAAAGAAAACTTTGACAAACAACACAGGTTGAATCACTTAAACACACAAACGTGTGAGCTGTGATTCTTTACTTTTATTTTACTGAGAAATAACTACAGTACAAAGCTGTGTGGTGGTGATATAAAAAGTTTCGTATAAAGAAGACATACAGTTAATTACTAAATGCAGCAAAACAAAGGGAGTGAATAAGTTTGCTACATAATGTAAATACTGCAAACTGCCATGCATCAAAACAGTGACGTTTCAGTTCATACCGATCACTGATGGAGACAAGAAAGTCTTTCGGGGTGGAAGAGAAAAGCTCAAAATTAGCAATGTCCAACTGCTTCACCTGGATGGGCTCACAGAGCTCAATAATAAACCTGAACAGGAAACAAACGATTAAACATGAGAAACAAAAGGCAGAGTAACAAAACATCTGAAGGGATTCAACTACATTTACCTTAAAGGTACTTGCATTACATTTAAAGTGCCTGATGCCTATCCTTCAAATACAGAAAGTCAAAGAAAACTTTTTTATACGTAAGGAACTTGGCATAATAATAATA